AAAATAAGAATTCACTAATACTTCCACGTTGACTTGCCTGACAACGGTGTTGGGCACCATCAGGACCTGAGGTGAAATTGGGTCGTGACAATCAACACCCCACACTTAAACCATTGCTCGTCCTCGAACAATCAAACTACACTTCACATAGAGAAGACCTTCTTCTCAGACAACTTTCCTAATTCATCATGCCAAGAATATTTAAAGCAGACTAAGCACCCTATCATAACATCCTACCCTCAAGACTCGACTCAAAAGCACCATGCATTTTCTTCAAAAACCTTTTCACTTACTCTAACACAAACAAGTCACGTGCCCTCACACAATTAATAGAGAGTAGTTCCACACACAATACAGTTTAAGAACAATTAGGAACTCAAGATAGAAAGAATTAACTCACTCTAAGAAATGAAATTCATGTGCCACAAAATACGTACCATAGGCTTGTCCGTGGTGTAATACTCTACTAATTGAGTTTATTCGGTCCAGGATCAAGTAAAACTTAATTTGGTTGTAATATAGGCTGCGGGATGGGAAAGATACATTTTGGATAATAGTGACTACACCTCCCTGAGCAATTTAATACATAAAATTTCACCAATTCTAACCCCAAACTTATGTTGAACCAAACCCCAACCTTCGCATCATATTAGTACCAAGCTCTCAATTTTTTTAGCACAAACACAATAAGATTTACCACTAGCAAGGAATAATTTCTCTCTATAATATATACAAACACCAACTTTTTTTTCTTTTTCTAAGTTTTGTTTTTTTTAAATTCCCTACAAGTGGATCTCACAATTTTTTCAAACATCGAACCTTTCTCCTTTTTTATAGTTCCACTTAAAACCCCAATCATACCTCAACTTAGCTTTTATCAAGCTCATAAATATTTCAAGTGCTCATGAGAGGTAAAAAGTTCAAAATAAATGGTCAATTTAACAAACAGGTCTGGCTTGTAGTGTGGTTGCCAAAGAGAATAAGATTACAGACAAAAAGAGGCTAACTAAGATACACATTGATTAGGTAGGTCACAGACATATAATTGGCTCAACAAAAAAATGTCAAGACGGAACAAGATTGTTGTTTCACTTTGCAAATATACGGGACAAGTTCTAACCATCAATTGACATACATAGAATATCACAAAACCTCACATACACCATGGAACATAACTCACTTTGGATCAGATCTATCTCGACTCTCTAGTCAAAGCAGTTAAGCAAAATCGAGATCAACAAATTAAGGCAATTTGCAAGAGTCAAGAACCGAGCCTAGGCATCACAACTAAGGCACGCGCCACTCTCAGAGCATAACAAAGTCAAGAAAAGTTATCTCCATTTAACACCATAGCACAAGATTTCTCTATTCCTAATAAAAGAAAAACTAACTACACCCGGTTCAAGAAAAACTCTTGAAAAAGAACTGCGGCACAAAGAAAAATAAAGGGTGGATTGTTACACTACCTAAGAAAGTAAAACAAAGATGAAAGACAAAAAAGAAATTTCTTCGACTTTAATCCCTCAAGAAGACAATCGAGAAAATCCATCGTCGGGAAAAGTAAAAAAAATCAAACAAAAAAAAATACAAACACACATATACATATTTATATCCCCCACCCCACACTTTAAACTGTGGCATGTCACCATGACATACAAATAAAAAGCAAGAGATAAAGGAAACTCCCTGGAATCATCTAGTCTAGGTCTGAATCAAAGTCGGGATCCACTTTGCATGCCCGACCCAGTGCACACATCCATGCTGAAAGTTTCTTTTCTGCCTTCTTTGGGTACACCCCACACTTATCATGCTTACCCTCTACAACTCGCTCTTTTAGGACCCTTGCCTTGAATTCAGAGTGTGTAGTTAGTTCGTCTCTAGGTGCTCCCATTGATCCCTCCATCTTGAAAACCACCCTTTCGTCCCCCACTCTTAGCATGAGCTGCCTTTTCTGAATGTCCATAATAGCTCTGCCAGTAGCCAAGAAGGGTCTCCGTAAAATCATAGGGACCTCTTTATTCTCTTTCATATTCACCACGATGAAGTCCATAGGGAACACAAATTTATCCACCTGAACTAGCACATCTTTCACTATTCCTTCAGGTATGGTTGTAGTTTGATCCGCCAGCTACAAAGATACAGGTATCGATCTGATTTCTCCAATGAAAATAGACAAATCATAAGATTAATAGAAGCACATGATTCACACAAAGATTTTTCAAATTTAGTACTTCCTAAAGAGCAAGGTATACTAAAACTCCCTGGATCTCTACACTTTTGAAGGAGATTATTTTGTAGAATGGCACTACAATGCTCTATGAGCTTGACAACCGATTTCTCTTCCACTTTTCTCTTATTGGAAAATATCTTCTTCAGGAACATAACATAGGCTGCCATCTGTGAAAGGTGTACTCACATGCAACTGTTTGAGAACTTCTAGAAAACGCTTGTATTATTTGTCCAACTTCTCTCTTCTTTGCTTCTGGGGAAAGGTATAGCAAACATGTATTTGCTCTCCTTATTCTCCTTATTCATTGAATTCTCATCTTTCTTCTTCTTTTGAGATACAGTTTTTTCCTTCTTCTTTAGACAATCATCTACCCTCACTTCACTTTTTTGAATGTTGTTATTTTTCTGCTTCTCCACAATCTCTACATGTCATTCAATCAACTCATCCTTTTGTTTTGCAATGGGGTCCTTATATACGTGCCCACTTCTCAAAGACACCACATTTATTATTTCTTTCGAATTTCTTTTAGTATCAGCAGGGAGAATTCCTGAGACTCTCTCATACAATAGATTTTCAAGTTTTCCCACCTGTCTCCCCAAGTTACGGATGGTTGTGCCATGAGTTTCAAGTCTCTCATATGTCTTAATGATAAATGCCTTCATTAGATCTTCCACGCTAGGCTGATTGGACTATTGAGGCTGGTACTGCTGCCTTTGCTGATTTAGAAAACCTGGAGGTCCTTGTCCCTGAGGTATAGAGTTATTATGTTCCCATGCATTCGTAGTACCACTAGGTGAACTCCACAAAAATTCAGGGTGCCTCTGGCCCATGGAATTAAAATTATTACTACTCTGGTAGTTGTCTTTGTCAAAGCTTCCCACAATATTTACCACTTCATCTGTAGTCGAGGCCTGATACTCATGCGTTGGATGACCCATTCCACAAAAGTCACAGGCTGATGATGGCTGGCTCTGGACCTTGGCTAAGGTTAACTTTCTTATCTTTATAGACATGGTGTCTAGTTAGGCTTGCATTGATGTGTTAGAGTCTACCTGGTGAATCCCAACTGATTTTCTTCTATCATTACTCTTAGCAGGCCATTGGTTAGCATCTTTAGAGAGCTCATCAAGAATTGCAACAATCTCTTCAAGAGTCTTCTTCATTAAAGGACCTCCAATTGCAGTACTTAGAGTTCGTCGTGAGGAAGGTGTCAGTCCATCCCAAAAGTCCTGGAGTTGCATCCACAATTCGATTCCATTAAGTTGACACTTTTTCACCATCTCCTTGAATCTTTCCCAAGTTTCGAAGACCATTTCAATGTCCTTCTGGCAGAAGTTGTGCATTTCCTTTTTGAATTTCACTTTTTTTACAGCTGAGAAGTACTTGTCAAGGAACCTTTTAGTCATATCTTCACATGTCTTGATTGAACTAGTTGGTAAGCTTCGAAACTAGTGCTTTGCATCATCCTTCAATGAAAAGGGAAATGCCCTTAAGTAGACTGCATCTTTTGACACTCCATTGTACTGGAAGGTGTTCATGATTTCCTCAAAGTCCATTAAGTGAGTGTTAGGATCTTCATTTCCCTTCCCTCTAAAGACACAGTTGTTCTGAATGGTTTGAAGCAAGCCTTACTTTAACTAAAAATTATTTGTTGCTAGAGGTGGAGGTCTGACACTTGACAATCCCTGATTGTAGATTGGTCTGGAATAATCGCCTAATGCTCTTCCAGGCGTGGGAGACATATTCTCAAATTGGTCTTCAACCAGGGGTCGATTTAGATTGAATCTTCAACCCCCATGATATTCTCATCATCAGCTCTAAGGGCTGCTTCAGCTGCTATTCGTGCAGCTTGTTCTCTATGTTGTGTTGCCTCTCTTGTAGCTAAGTCTACCCCATCATCACCATTCTTAGCCATGTGTTCTTGGGCTGAAGGTTGCCCCAAGAATTTTTCGGTGAGTTCTTTCTCTTTCCTCAACTGTCGCAGACGCTTTTCCACTACTGGATCGTATGGAATCACTTCTTTTGAAGAAGACCGAGTCATACACCATAGAAGTTAAACATGTTGCCCTGCACACAAGAGAAAACTCGTGAAGAACAAAATAATAATGGTTCCTGAATTAGCACCAAAACTAAGTTTAAACACTATTGTTTGCAAAATCTCTAGCAACGGCGTCAGAAGATATTTGCTAGCCAAAGATATTACAGTTTAATTATCGTCTCCACATGGATTAATTTAAATAAGTTTCAAGTAATTTCTAGCTTAACGCTATTCGAGAGGATTAACACTTTAATTGGGATGATTAATAACTAAAATTAACTATGAAACTAAAACAATTAACAATTGATCACAAAAAGACAAGAGTTGAGCAATACAGAAATATCAATGGGAGAAATAAGGGTAGTGACATGATAGGTGCAAGATAGCTATTTGGGGTCTAATGTAGTGACATGATAGGTGCAAGATAGCTATTTGGGATCTAACTCTAGTTCAATTCACTCTAATGTTCTAATGATTCTTACGAATTGACTCGATGAATAGTTCAAACGTGTAGCCAAGACTCCTCTCTCGATTAAATCTTAACTCTACGAGGTGAACTAATATAAATCACTGTGAAAATATGCAAGCATGCGTTAATGGATTAGTCTTCAGGAAAACTGTCATGACCCAAAAACTGACTCGATCGTGATGGCGCCTAACGTGAAACTAGGCCAGCCAACACAAACCCCAACACCAACCAGAAATTCATAATAAGTCATTTAAAGCCAGTAATTAGCTAAAATCCAATAGTATAAGTTAAAGGAAACAATGCGGAAAATATATAACACAGCCCGACATCGGGGTGTCACCAATCATGAGCAACTACAACTCGTCTAGGAATAAGAAAGGACAACATAGTCTGAAACAAAATGCTAATACAAAGCTGAATAAGGTAGGAAGGAGAAGCACACGGCTGCGAATGCCAAACAGCTACCTAGTCGACTCTGGAGACCTGATGGAAGACTGATCAGCACTCACTATCGCGCCCCAAGACTCCTGGATCTGCACACAAGGTGCAGGGAGTAATGTGAGTACGCCAACTCAGTAAGTAATAAAAGTAAAGGCAGTTGAGCAGTAAGAAAACATGTAAACCACGTCATAACGCTACAGTAAAATAGTATAAGTCCAGAACAATGTAGTAAAGCAATAAAACTCGTAAAACAACTCAGTTCAGTAAAACCTTTTAAAAAATCTTTCATTAGTTTCAAACGAGTGATGAAAACAATAAGTAAAAGGATAGAAACGTAAATAGCCCCTTGGGCAAAACATGTACCACAACCGCCCCTCGGGCAAAATATCAATAGAACAAGCCCCTCGGGCTACCTCACAATCACTCGTAATCAGCCCCTCGGGCAATAACATGAAACAACAACAGCCCTTCAGGCAATATCACATCTCACACTGGGTACCCGCGCTCACTGGGGGTGTTCAGACTCCGGAGGGGCTCCTGCAACCCAAGCTCTATCACAAGCCATCTCGTGGCATAATAAATCAGGCCCTCGGCCTCTCATATATCACAATCAATACACATGCTGCGGCGCGCAACCCGATCCCATGATATCCTCACAATACAGGCCCTCGGCCTCACTCAGTCAAAAATCTCTCAAGCCACTCGGGCAACAGTAAAACATGATGCTCAGCCAAAAATATCATTTAAAAATATCAAAACAAAGTAAATACGGCTGACTTATGAAAACAGTAGAATACAATATGACTGAGTATAGATATTAAGCCAATCAGTGAGGAATAGCAGTAAAAATCCCCTAAAAGTCCAAAATAGTTGGCACGAGGCCCAAATATGGCATTCAGCCCAAAATATGGTAATAATTTCCAAAACACAATGATATCAAACAGGTTTTAATCAAATACGCGACTTAACAGTCGTACGAGACGGACCAAGTCACAATCCCAAATGGTGCACGACCCCACGCTCGTCATCTAGCGTGTATGTCGCCGCAAAGTAGCACAACGATGTGAAATCCGGGGTTTCATACCCTCAGGACAACATTTACAATCATTACTTACCTCAATCCGGTCCAAACTCTAGCCCACGATGCCTTCGCCTCTCGACTCGGCCTCTGAATGCTCCAAATCTAACCAAAAATAGATTCATACCATCAAAATATGTTACGGGAACAAAGCCCACTCGAAAATAACCAATTTACATAAAATTCCCGAAATCGGCCAAACCCGACCCCCAGGCCCATATCTCAAATTCTGATAAAAATCACAAAACTAAAATCCTTACACTCTCACGAGTTCATACATACCAAATACATCAAAATCAGACCACAAACGACCCCTCAAATCCCTAAATCAAGGTCTCCAATTTCAAACCCTAAACACCTAATTTTAACCACTAATTTCCATAAACTCCTTGTCTAATCAGTAAAATATCACCATAGAAACGAGTTTTAGTACCAAGAATCTTACCTCCACGAAGTCCCCGTGAATTCCCTCTTCAAAATCTCTTAAAAAGCTCTCAATACGACTTAAAAATGGTGAAACAAAGCTGAAAATTGCGAAGGAAACCTTATAGAGGTTCTGGCCTAGGGATTTCGCACCTGCAGCCAAAATCATGCTTCTGCAGACCGCACCTGCGGTCAAGACAACCACATCTGCGGTTCTTCATTAAATCCCCCAGGGCCGCATCTACTTCCAGGTTGCGGCCCCGCAGATGCGCCCAATGCACCGTACCTGCGGCCAAGCTCCAGCAGACCCAAATCCACCTCTGCGGCCTCCTCTACGCATCTGCAGTGTCACACCTGCGGTCCCCAATCCGCAGGTGCGGAAATAACAGAAGCGGAAAATCTCCAGCACAACTCCAAAAATCCAAACTCTCCGTCAACCATCCAAATCCATCCCAAGGCCCTCGGGACCTCTACCAAACACGCCAACAAGTCACATAACACTATTCAAACTTGTTCGAACCCGCGAAACACTCAAAACAACGCTGGAACACCAAATCACCCTCGGATTCAAGCCTATGAATTCCAAAGTATCCAAATTCCTCTTTCTATCAAAAAGTCTATCAAACCTCGTCCGAATGACCTGAAATTTTAAACACACGTCACAAATGACACAACGGACCTACTCTAATTTCTGGAATTCCATTCCGACCCCTATATCAAAATCTCCACTACCAACCAGAAAATATCAAATTTCCAATTTTGCCAACTGAAGCCTAAATCTTCCACTGACCTCCAAAATACATTCTGATATGCTCCTAAGTTCCAAATCACCTAACGAAGCTATCCGAACCATCAGAATTCACATCCGATACATTTTTCACACAAGTCAACATCCGGTTGACGTTTCCAACTTAAGCTTACTCAAAAGAGACTAAGTGTCTCATTTCTCTACCAAACCATTCTGAACCCAAAACAACCACCCCAATACCACATAATACAGCTAAACAAGACGTAAAGAAGCAGAAATGGGGGAAACGGAGTGATAACTCATGAAACGACCGGCTGGTCGTTACATCCTCCCCCTCTTAAACAAACATTTGTCCTCGAACGAGTCAAGAAACATACCTGAAACCTCAAATAGGTGAGGATATCTTCTCTGCATCTCCCGTTCGGTCTCCCAGGTAGCCTTCTCCATGGGCCGACCTCTCCACTGCATTTTCACTAAAGCTATATCCTTTGACCTCAACTTTTGGACCTGCCGCTCCAAAATATCTACTTGCTCCACATCATAAGTCAAATCATCATCTAACTGGACCGTGCTGAAATCCAAAACATAAGACAGATCCCCAATATACTTCCAGAGCATAGAAACATGAAATACCGGATGCACACTCGATAAGCTGGGTGCCAAAGCAAGCTCATAAGCCACCTCCCCAATCCCCCTGAAGCACCTTAAAAGGTCCAATGAACCTAGGGCTCAATTTACCCTTCTTCCCAAATCTCATAACACCCTTCATGGGTGAAACCTTCAATAGAACCTTCTCCCCAACCATGTAGAACACATCACAAACCTTCCTGTCAGCATAACTCTTTTGTCTCGACTGCGCTGTACGAAGCCGCTCCTGAATCACCTTCACCTTGTCCAAAGCATCCTGCACCAAGTCTCTACCAAAAAGCCTAGCCTCACCTGACTCAAACCAACCAACTAGAGATCTACACCGCCTCCCATACAAAGCCTCATATGGAGTCTTCTGAATACTCGACTGATAACTGTTATTATAAGCAAACTCTGCAAGTGGTAGAAACTGATCCCATGAACCACCGAAATTAATGAAACAAGCGCGCAACATGTCCTCCAATATCTGAATAGTGTGCTCGAACTACCCATCCATTTGAGGGTGAAAAGTTGTGCTCAACTCAACCTAAGAACCCAATTCTCTCTGCACGGCTCTCCCAAACGGCAAAGTGAACTGAGTACCTCTATCTGAAATGATGGAAACTAGGACACCATGCAAACAAACAATCTCTCGGATATAGATCTCTGCCAACCACTTTGAAGAATAGGTAGTACACACAGGAATAAAGTGCGCGAACTTGGTCAGCCGATCCACAATCATCCAAATAGCATCGAATTTCTTCAAAGTCCGCGGGAGTCCAACTACAAAATCCATGGTGATCCGCTCCCACTTCCACTCTGGAATATCCATTTGCTGAAGCAAGCCACCGGGTCTTTGATGATTATATTTCACATGTTGACAATTGATACACCGAGCTACAAATCTGACAATATCCTTCTTCATTCTCCTCTACCAATAATGCTATCTCAGATCCTGGTACATCTTTACGGCACCCAGATGGATGGATTACCGCGAGCTATGGGCCTCCTCCAGAATCAACTCCCCGAAGCCCATCTATATTGGGCACACATATCCGGCCCTGCATCCTCAACACCCCATCATCACCAATAGTCACATCTCTGGCATCGTCGTGTTGGACTCTGTCCTTAAGGACAAGCAAATGAGGATCATCATAGTGGTGCTCTCTGATGCGATCAAACAAGGAAGACCGAGAAACCACACAAGCTAAGACCTGAATGGGCTCTGAAATATCCAACCTCACAAACCGATTGGCCAAGGCCTGAACATCAACTGCAAGAGGTCTCTCCCCAACAGGAATATATGACAAACTGCTCATACTCACCGCCTTCCTACTCAAGTCATCGACCACTACATTGGCCTTCCCCGGATGGTATAAAATAGTAATATCATAGTCCTTTAGCAGCTCCAACCATCTCTGATGCCTCAAATTGAGATCTTTCTGCTTGAACAAGTGCTGGAGGCTACGATGATCAGTAAACACCTCACAAGACACACCATAAAGATAATGCATCCAAATCTTCAATGCGTGAACAATGGCAGCCAACTCTAGATCGTGAACTGGGTAGTTCTTCTCATTGGTCTTCAACTAACGAGAAGCATAAGCAATAACCCTACCCTCCTGCATCAACACACGCCCGATACCCACTCTCGAAGCATCACAATACACTATATATGAACCTGAAGATGATGGAAAAACTAACACTGGACCTGTGGTCAAGGCAGTCTTGAGTTTCTGAAAGCTTGCCTCACACTCATCCGACCACCTAAATGGAGCACCCTTTTGAGTCAATTTGGTCAAGGGTGATGCTATAGATAAAAATCCCTGAATGAACCGATGGTAATAACCTGCCAAAACAAGAAAGTTACGAATCTCTATGGTTGAGGATGGTCTGGGCCAACTCTAACCCGCCTCTATCTCCTTCAGATCAACCTAAATCCCTCACTAGACACCACATGTCCCAAGAAAGCCACTGAGCTAAGCCAAAACTCACATTTGGAGAACTTTGCATAAAGCTTCTCTTCCCTCAATCTCTGCAACACAACTCTTCGATGCTCCGCGTGCTCCTCCTAACTACGTGAGGATACCAGGATATCATCAATGAAAATAATCACAAACGAGTCGAGATAAGGTTGAAACACGTTGTTCATCAAATGTATGAACGTTGATGGGGCATTGGTCAGCCCAAAAGACATCACAAGGAACTCATAATGACCATAGCAGGTCCTGAAAGCTGTCTTAAGAATATCTGAGTCCCCAATCTTCAACTAGCGATAACCTGAACGGAGATCAATCTTGGAGAACACTCTCGCTCCCTGATGATGGTCAAATAAATCATATATACGAGGCAAAGGGTACTTGTTCTTGAATGTAACTTTGTTCAACTACCTGTAATCAATGCACATCCTCATCGTGCCATCCTTCTTCTTCACAAATAGAACAGGCACACCCCAAGGTGACACACTAGGCCGAATAAACCCCTTTATCAAAGAGTTCCTGAAGCTGCTCCTCCAACTCTTTCAAATCCTTCAACTTTGTTGGTGCCATACGATATGGTGGAATAGAAATGGGCTGAGTTCCCGGCACCAGATCAATACCAAAATCAATATCCCTGTCCGGTGGCATGCCCGGCAGGTCTGCGGGAAACATATTGGGAAAATCCCTCACTACTGGAACATAATCAATACTAGGAGTCTCTGCACTAACATCCCTCACAAAAGCTAAGTATGAAAGACAACCTTTCCTGACCATCTGCTGGGCCTTCGGAAATGAAATCACCCTACTGGGAACAAAATCAGTCGAACCTCACCACTCAATCTGTGGCACACCCGGCATAGCCAACATCACTGTCTTAGCATGATAGTCCAATATAGCACAATACGGAGATAGCCAATTCATGCCTAATATCACATCAAAGTCCACCATATAAAGTAACAAAAGGTCCACCCGGGTCTTCAAACCCCCAATAGTCACCACACACGACCAATATATGCGGTCCACAATAATAGTATCGCCCACCGGAGTAGATATACGAAGAGATGAAACAAGAGACTCATGGGGCGTATCCAAATAACGAGCAAAGTATGACGACACATATGAAAAATTAGAACCGGGATCAAATATCTCTATGGAAGACTGAGACAATACCTATAATCACAACATCTGAAGTAATAGCATCGGGTCTAGCTGAGAATGCATAGAAACAGGTCTGACCACCACCTGATTGACCTCCCCCTCTGGGGAGACCCCTAGCTGACTATCATCCACCCAGTCAAT